CACGCGCGTTGGAGTAAATAGAACGCGTTGTGACACAGTCTTACCAGCGTCTTTCACTCACGCAATATAATTATGCTATTTCCCAACGCACTTATATTTAATACATTGACGAAAAACACCACAAGAAATATGTCAACTAATAATACGCAATTATCCAGGCAGTACTAGAAATTATTGCTGATACTAATCATGTTTTGTATTGGAAAGTTGGATACTTGAACGTGAAGTCCCGGGCATGTAGTAATAATAATAATAACTTTATTGCCTTCGTGTAAACATTTTTACATAGGATAAATACAGCAAAATAATAAAATAACATAAAATAATAACAAGATATATGTAAGAATTGTACAAAAAACAATACAAAAGGACTTAACTAGGATTTAAATGTTAAATAAATCTTTGTGTTGTGTAAATATAATTGGCCAGTTCTATAATTATGCCAGGATCTTTGCTTGAGAGTATATATGTGAACTGTATGTTTTTATTGTTATTATCTTTCTACTTGTACAAATAAAGTGGTTAGGGCGAAGTATTTGGGGCATTGAGGGTCTTCTACTAGAATTTACCCATGAAAATTGTCTCTCTATCCTGACCAAGCAATGGCAGACGCTTCTTTGTTTCAATTTGTTTCAATTCAAATTTGATCCAGGTTGCGTGTAAATACATTCCATGTGTGAGGGACGTCTCGTAAACATGCAGACTTATCACTCAACATGCACTTTATTTCTTTATTATATACTATGTATTATGGAATTGTGTGCTAGTTAACACTTGGGTTGTGGCAAATTTAACACCTCTCCGAGGTGTGACTACTTTTGAAACCTGCCATTGTCTTCATTTAAACGACAGCGCGTGACACAAGAATTCAGTGACCCTTAGGTGAACATGCACCCGTTACTAACTACATGTACAATTATAATTCTATGATTCTTTAATCGCTGACCACGGGTTCATACTAATTTTACCGAAAGAAAAAACAATTTTCACATGTTATGCGGAGTGTGCTGGCTGGTCATGGCCGTTTATTAAATTATTGTGCTTTCACGTTTCCTGTGCAATTTCGTGAAGAGCAAACATCGATTCTATGCAAACGACTGAACGAACTTTTTGATACAGCATCATGCCAATCTTAACCAACCATGTACACATCATTTCATAACCATGGTAAATATTTGATTTTACTGTGATAAAACACAATTGAACATACGTTGTTATATTATAAGCAAACATTACAAGCCTTTGTATTACCCCTCGCATAGGGCTTTTTTGCGAATAGCAAACGATACATTTTACCACTCGCATATGCCGTTTTTACCACTAGCATATGGCATATTTTGCTACTTGCGACTTGCAACTTGGTACTCGCATACGGCACTATTTCTAGGTCGTACATACCTGAATCTAAGTATAATTTGAATGTTTGAGCATGCTCACCTATTTCATCCTGTGAGACTGTACTTACAGAACCAGCAACCTGATCATGAGGGGACAGTATAGATGACTGAGGTTGGAAACGAATGTGTAGTTGCTGTAATGATCTGTAAATATTAATGATAAATCGCAAATTGTTATGGTGCGAAAAATAGTTAGGTTTCAAATGCAGGAAAAATACAACATGTCATTCATTCATTATACAACGCTCTCTATGGTGAGAACTAAAGCTGTGACCTCAGATGTCACAACCTGGTAATTATGAACTTGTTACGTCAATGATGATGAAAACAAAAGGAACATTAACTGTGTTTGGTTTTTTTATATTTTTCAATCCATGTAATACAGACCCAATATGGCACTAACTGAACTCACAAATATATTAGGGTGTTATGCCACCATATGCTAATGATTAGAAATAAATATTGATTGACCAATAATTAATTTACATCTTATTACCATAATTATATGCTATGTTACATGTCATATGACCATGTGTTTACTTATCAGCTCTGTAAGGAATTATAAACTATATAAAAACATAGCTTTTCCCTTTGGAAATGTTGCAAGGGGCAGATAGTAAAAACCTAACATTGTGGGGTAGAGTGAGACAACAGTAAGGGACAGAGAAAAATATTTAGATGTAAAATATCATGCAAATGCTAAAATAATCACCTAAATAAACTTTTTTAGATTTTTTAGATATAGTAATGAAAATTGACAAATCTTAGATAACTTGCGGTTAGTAAAAAAGAAGTCAAAAATGTCACTTTTTATCAAAAATTACAAAAAAATAACATCACAAAATGAACAAAGAGGTCCAATCCAAAACTATTAAGTCACTGACAGTAAACTGCACTGATTCATTGCAATGGTTTGTCCGATTTCAATAACTACTGTAAAATACTTTATTTGGCTTGGAATTTATTTTTGCTGAAGGGATGATTTCGGGAATATAAAATCCAACTAATATACCTTTTTTCCTACATTTCACATTCAACTCATCAAAAATCAGTGAAAATAAATTCCATAACAAAACACCCAAAATATTTTACAGTAAGTCATAGTACTCCAGTTTGTATGTACATTACGAGAAATATAATGATGTTCACAGTTTGTTTTAAGGGCAAGGAAAGAATTGGGTTATATGCATGTCATACACCTTTAGCATTTTGTTTTAATTGCTGTACAAATATGTGATTTCCACTTACTTGGTATGCACACAGTACATTTTGATGAGTACAGCTATGTTGCTATGACAACCATCTTTCTCAATAGACCTATCAATATCACCTGCAAACCAGAAAATACAAAAAGTAAAAAACAATATAGATTTAGCTGAAGCCCAGAGTGAGGTTTTTATATTTCATTGTACAAGTCATTGTCAAGAATGCATAATTCTTTTGATGGCTTATTCAATATTGTTTCTGACTGCCAAAGGTTGCTGCAAAAATACGATAATTCTCCAATTGATTGCCGCAGTTCTCACAATGACTGAACTGACACATTTAATAAAGCCAACAATTGAAGGACAGAGACAAAACATTTACACACATCGCAATAGTCTGAGCATGGTTCACTATTATACTGTATTTGCTCTATCAGTAGCACATTTGCTCATGTAAAGTACAGAGGTATTATCGCAGTTAAAATAAGTAATATTTTAATAACTCTGTGTACCGGAACAACAAATACAAATTGACCATTTTCCGTTCACTGCGAGAATCACGCGTTATGCATGAAATCGAACATAAAAACAGGACAAACAAAGGTCATAGCGTCGTAGTAGCGTCAAACATCGCGTGGGATTTGACAAACGCGAAAGTATTTCGGGGGACATTTCCATGCTTAATAATGTGCTGTCCACATTTGATGATAGGCAATTTCGATTAAGTAAGAGTATTCGAAAGCAATATTGCTCTGTCAAAGATCAGCCGGTCGATGTGAGCTACGAAATTAAGAGATTCGAGTTCAACATCAAATCGTTCGATTTTTGCGACAGATGTTCGACGCGCGTCTTTCATGCATCTCGCGAGATCTCACAATTGTACGGAAAATCACCTATTTGGGATTAGGTGCACTTCTATTGCAGATGCACTTCCAATAGAGCAAATAAATGGTAATATTATACATGCGGCTGTACTTTAAAAACTGCATTGCTCTCGCTGATACACAAACTTACCACTCTCATCCTCCACATCTCCATCTGCTGTTGTGATATGCTTGAATTTTTTTCTATTTGCATCCAAAATAGCAAAACTCAACATTGGCTGTGTCAGTAAGAACTCGCAGACTGATGAAATGTGGGCGTGGCCTTTCTCTATATCTTGGTATACTTCAAACACATACAAAACCTGTGATAAAAAAACAAATATCAGTTGTCATAATATTAATTACCATCCTCCAACTATCTTCAAGAATTACACTATCAGACTTTCTCCAAGTTTATTATGATGAACAAGATTGTCTGCTGCCATAAATTATCCTTCCTAGCACCTAAATTAGAGTCAGGTTTATATTTATTCATTTACATTTATATAGTTTTGCTGATGAGCAGTTATCACTGTAAAAGTTGTTACATACTTAATCAACACTGCATAAAAAATTTCCTTTTTGAAAAAAAAATTATCCTGATTTACCACCAAAATTGAATTCCATACAAGCACCTGAAAAGTTGTTTCAGCAAAAATTAATTGCAGCTAAAATAAAATATTTTACAGTACAATACAGCAGACACTATCTTACCTTTCTATTGATATCAGACATTATAAGATAAGAAGCTGACAAATCCAATGCTGCTCTGAGACATGGTTCAGGCTCATCAGAACTTGGTGTCAGATTTCTGATTGTCTGCAGACAGGTCCATGATACAGTACACCACACTTTGATTTCTCTATTGAAGTCAGCACCGGTGAGAAGGAATCTCCAAAATGGTAAACTGCAATTGATATAAAGAGTTAGCATATAGGGTTGTTTATTGGATTAACTTTAAAGTGGGGGAGTCGTCACCTGCGCATGTGTCAGCTGGCCATAGCATGTCATTGTTTACAAACAAGCGTCTACCCATGAGCCTTTGCGTTATTAGCGCGTGTTGTTATCGTCGATTAGGACTCAATTCCCGCATGTGCATGTACACAGGTCGTCACCTCCTGCTTTAAGATATCATCTAACAGGATTAAAAAGACAATGGGAAACAATAATTCTATGGTATGATCCCAGGACTGAGGAACAAACATACAATTCAACTTTTGTGCATTCTTAGTATTTTTTCTGGTGAATGGTACACATGTACTTTTTAACAATATAATCATTCAATCAGTACCTCAGTAGCTAATATCAATATTTATAGACTCCATGAATATTAATGAGATTAAGATTTTCTTTGAAAGATTAATTGGATCATGAATATGTACAAGTTTAATCATAGACCTTACAGTAGAGGGAAGGACTATGATTTAACATAAATATCAATTACATCATAAATTTCAGAGCCAGACATGAATATTAATGAGGTTAAGAATTTCTATGAGCTTAATTGGAAGATTAATTGAGCTTGAGATGAACATTAATTATATCATTATCATGAATATTTATGAACTTAATTAATTAGATTATAAATTAAAGGGGAACCGATACTATAAATAGGGGCAAGATGCCCACCGCAATTTGTATGCCAATCCAAACCAATGTGCCATATACGATGTTTAGAGATCAAGCTGCGATTCCAAATATATTTAGTGCACAGAGGCAGAGTTAATTACCAATGAGCATGTGGTGCAATCCATGGGATTGAGCAGTTCCCCTTTAAGTTTACAGAATATGAAAGACTTACTTTGGATCTTGGTGTTTATGATTATCACAGAAGAGTAAACACGATACAGGTCTGCCTTCATGCGGAGTCCACTGATGTAGTCTTCTTGGTGGATCAGAGTTCTCTTGGTATATCTGCCAGAATTTCACCATGCCATCAAAACTGGCAGTGGCTAACACGGCAGCATCTGGAGATAGTGCTGCCTGGGTTATTGGCTGTAAGAAACAAACGACTCAATCACTACATCACAATCTTTATTGTTTTATTTATTTGTTAATTACCTACATGTATACTTTGTGAAATTAGCAACTGTGTTTTTGCCACTGAAACTTTAGCAGGCAACGCATAGTAGCGGTATTTATAAACATGATATTACTACTCGAAGTGTAGATGGAAAAAGAATGCTGCCTATTATATGAACAAGCAGCAACAACAAAATTCCAGGGTAAAATGTATATCATATAACAGGGGTCAGGGGTCAGAGATCAAACTACCATACTGGGCTCTTATTGGACATATTACATCAAGCGCAAAATTTTTCAAACACCTAACTCATGTACCTGGTAGACAATTACGAAGTGACTTTGAAACATCTCCAGAAACTTTTCTTTGACCCTTCACTGATCGTTGTAGACAAAACGTGCTTATATACCCATCTACATTAATCGAAACAACAGACCTGGGTTTCAGATGAGATCAACTATTATGAGTGTCGATCAAACATTCATCCAACAATTCATTGTTGTTATTCGACACATTATGAAAATAATAAACCTAAGGCTCGCTGATACATTTTTTTGGGGAGAACACACCTAAAATATAATTATATTAATCTTGTGAGAACAGTTTTGATTTTAAAATCGTTGTTGACTATAACTATACAATTAATATTATTATGCCAAAAAGTGTGGACACTCGGCAGGAGATTATTCACCTCTTCTTGGGTGAAAACAGTTTGCAAGTGATCACTTGAATATGTTCTAGAAAGAGTAGCAATCCACGTCAACAGTTACTTCTGATAAATCGTTCAAATTTACTGTATGTTGTCATGTATTCAGATCATTGTTGCAAAAGATCTGAAGGATATTTTAAACTGGTATATGATGACGGTATAGAGGTGAAACTAAAAGTGAGTAATTTCAGGGAAAGATTGACTTCTGGGGTTTGACTGCCAAAATGGCAATGGGACATCCCATAAAATGGGAAACTGAAAACATGACGAGCACAACTCTACTATTTCTAATATAGTGACAACAATGACAAGTAAAAATCAGCAAAATTTACAATTATTATTGCTTGTTGAAATCAATTTGCAGTTTTATGTTCATTTCATATTTCTTCAAAGTATTACAGCAATGACTGTTGAACCTACAAAGCAATGAAATAGACCAACTATGCCATCCCATGCAACCACAGGTCGAAGGCAATACACCATGTATAGTGTTTTGATAATCAGTTAATCAAGTCCCCAGGCAAGCGTCTTGGGATGTAGAAAAGCTGCCTACCATACGCTGGGGTTGGGTGTATGCAACTACATTGCGCCTACTGTAAAGTGTCAGTAAACTCATAATTGAGAAAGGATAGGATAAATTATTTTATATACATACTAATTATACTAACTCATCCTCAGATTTTAGTAAATTTTGCAAAAAACATCAGTTTACTACTGACAGAGAGAGCACAGCCATTTCTAAAATGTTCAAATTCTTAAGCTTGGCCAAGTCTGTTTAGAAAAATTTAGAGTTCATCATACAACAAAGGGAAAATTGAGGTGGTAACAGTAGTTGCAGGCATTTATCACGTTTACAATGTCAAATCCATACCTGTGAATGTCCATTGACTCTGCTGACACCATCTTTCACATCACCAACCTGCACAGTTGCACCGTTACCATGGTTTTCAACAACAATATCAAGATCCCATACTTCAGCCTAATATACAGAACAGAATTATTTTCACAAAAATGTACAAAGACGAAGGGATACCTGTTGAAATGATTTTAGTCAATAGAACATTTTGTGAACGTCTTAATTTGAATGATACTGATTTCTGCACTGTAAGCATCTTAATTTTTACAAGAGACCTCATACTTGAAATAGCTGTCATTGTAGAGTGTGTTCCTCAAAACAAAGTTGATAATATGCTGTAGGATGAGATTTTAGCTATTTACCATGGTTACTGTTCCCACAACATTTTTGCCAAATCACAACCATGGTACCAAAGTATCAAAACAATTCCTAATTTTCGAGTTGTTAGTTTTCTACGGAATTCCGCTAGAGGGCGCATCAAAAATACCCGGATGACGAGCCTGAGTGGGGTTGTTTTTATTGAAGTTCTGTATTCTTACATGCTTAAATCAATAGATTGGAAAAGCAAAAAAGTCCCAGAACTCCGCAAATTTCTTCAGGATCGTGGTATAACTTGCAGCAATGTTCGTAAAGCTAAACTGTTTGAACTTGTTGAGTTAGCAAACGAGTTAAATGTTCGCCAAGAGTCAAACAATCATCGTACTGTAAAACACGAGTCGACGATAACTCTGGTAGATCCGTGTAAC